GGTTCGTAGGGAACCCTACCGGGATTGTGGTCTCCCATACCGGACGGGGTATGGAGATCTTATGGGTTTTGGCGCCCATACCGGACGGGGTATGGGGACGGCCCGTTTCACCCTCATACCGGACGGGGTATTGAGGTTTATGGTTTTGGCGCCCATACCGGACGGGGTATGGGGACGGCCCGTTTCACCCTCATACCGGACGGGGTATTGAGGTTTATGGTTTTGGCGCCCATACCAGACGGGGTATGGGGACGGCCCTGGAAACTGATTATGAATGTTAAAGGTTAACGGGTAGCGGGACCCCTATGGACCCCCATAGATACTAGTAGGCTGGTAAATGAGAAAATGATATGTTGTATAATGATTGAATTACAAAAGGTGTGATAAGTGCTATGTTTTACAGCTTATATTATTCCATGATTGTGATAATGTTATTGTTTTCTTATATTGTTTCATGAATTCCACCGAGGTAAGTGGATGGTAAAGGTTTTATCATAAATAAAACGAGTTTGTTATAAATCATGCTCCATTGGTCTTTTGTGTTTTTCTACCCACCTTTACCTCCGTGACGGTGAGATATCGTGATGTCATTACTGGGCTAGTGTAGCTCATTCCTTATTTAACCATTTCAGATCAGGAAGACATGGTTCCCGAGCCCGTTCCGCAGGAGGACGACGAAGGGGATGCCTAGAGACTCTGTAGTCATACTCATAGTTTTATTTTCGAGTCTCTCTCTTAGTTAGTTTAATCTTTTATATTTTAAGTATGTTTTTTGTTTCCGTGTAAGGGATGTTAAACGAAATTTTGATCTCGCTTCCGCATTTAATATTTATAATATAATTTCCATTTTGAATCACCGGGGCTGTTACAAATAATGTGGTATTTTGTACAATTTAGAAAATCTCGATAATTAATCACAGGTTATTAATGGAGGTAGAACTGGTTATTATTCACTTTTAATCCTGTTTGATTGATTTTATTGTTTTAAATGCATAATATTACATTGGAATTGGTATGATAATTCATTTGTGCTTTCTTTATGCATGTATTGCTTGTTTTGCGTGATTTATAGTTAAATTATGAAACTGAAAATTAAATATAAACAGAAAATTGTTTGACTAAGTGAGTGAATGAATGATAGCCTCACTGGATATCCTGAGAGATGGTGGACGAACCAGGTACATAAGGAACCCTACCGTGAACGTTATCTCATACCAGATAGGGTATGGAAGATTGGTATTTTGGCGCTCATACCGGACGGGGTATGAGGGTGGGCTGTTTCACCCTCATACTGCGAGGTATTGAGGGATAATATTTCTTGCGCTCATACAGGACGGGGTATGGAGACAACTGTTTCACCCTCGTGTCGGACAGGGTATTGAGTTATAGTAGTTTTGGCGCTCACAACAGACAAGGTATGGAGATGGCCGGCTAATTGAAAATGTTGAATAAGTATTCACGCGTAGTGGAAACATCTCTATAGACCCTTATGGATACAGTAGATAGATAAAAAGATAAAGTTATTATTCTGGTTAATTGAATATGAGATTATGATGTTATTTATGCTATTACCTCTATAGATCAGTTTTGAAAATTTCGTTACGGTAAGTGTACAATAAATGATTTTACTTATGATAAATGAATTTACTTAAAATAAGAGCTCCGTTAGTTGTTTTCATAATTTTTACCAACTTTCGTTTCTGTATCGGTGAGTAGTGCGACATTCTTATTGGGGTAGTATAACTCACTCTTTCATTAACTATTTCAGATCAAGAGAACCAAGATCTAGATCTCGATCCATAAGAGAGTTGCGAATAGGATGTTAAGTTGTTTACTTTCTATCTATTTCTTTGATTATTCGTTTTTCCTTTAGAATGACCATTCCAGTAACCTTATTGAGTATTTTAAATTATTGTGTAAGAAATGTAAACTCTAACACTATTATTTCACTTCTATATTTAATTTATAATTTATTTCCTAAGTTCCGGATCGTTACAGTAAAATTAAATTTTTATTAAGTTTAAATGAATATTTCAAATGGTTGCAGCAAAAATTAAATAGATAAATGATAAATCAACTTTAGTAGTTTTATAAATTTTATTTAAATAATTGAAATACCAACAATTTGATTTAGACACTACATAATATTTTATTTATGAGTCTTTTTTCAAGTTAAAATATTGAATACATTATACATATATGCATATGTTTGTTTGTATTAATATAATTATTGTCTTCCAAAAAAAAAAAACATTATATATGTAAGATGTAAGGACTAGAAAGTAGAAAGACTAGAAAGGAAAAAAATAAAATAAAATAAAAAAATAAAAATAAAAATAATAATAAAAATAAAAATATAATAATTAAATAAATTTCTATCAGGTAGGAAACGACGTCGTTTTAGAGAGGGGAAAAACGACGTCCTTTTGAAAGAAAGAAAAACGACGTCGTTTTGGGATGTAGGAAAACGACGTCGTTTTGGGGTAGGCTGGCAGAGTATAAAGGGAGGTCGGGAAAGGGAGAAGAAAAAGGGGAGAAAAGAAAAAAAGAAAGAAAAGGAAAAAGAGAAAAAAGAGAAAAGGAGGGAAGGAGGGCAGCGGAGACGAAGAAGAAGAGGAAAGTTCCAGAAGGAGAGAGGAGAGAGTCGGGGCGGAGGGGAGCGAGAAGGGAGAGGGAAGGAGGCCGTGGACGGACGACGCGACCGGCAGGAAGAAGGAAGATGGAAACGGGAGGTACGGTGAAAATTTGAGCTGTTTGGTGTGGTGTGTGTGTGTAGAGAATTTTGTTGCAGGTTGCGGCGTCGGCAATGGCGCGACGGAGTGGAGCAGTGAAGGTAGGCCGTAATCGTGGGGTTGTCCCGCGCGCTCACGGAGGTGATCGGGGAAGGAATTGAAGGTGTGGCGGTGTTGGAGGCGTGTGGGGAGCCGTGGGGAAGGATGGGGGTGGTGCGGGTAGAACAGAGTGAGGAGGATGTGAGAGGACAATCTAGGGGGCGCGGGTGGGATAAAAACTCGAGAGGACAGAAGAGGTGTGTGCGTGGTGTATGCGTGGGTGGGGATGTGGAGGGAGCCGCTAATAGGCGGCGATGTGTTTCCCTGAAATGCACGGTGGTGAGGGCGTGTGTGTGGCATGAAACGGTGCAAGCTGAGAGGTTAATCGCCCTAGGTAGGCAAAAGTGTATAGGAAACGGGAGGAGGCAGGAGGATGGGGGAGGTAGCGGGTAGG